TTTACCATGTGACAAGCTGTGACCAATCACAGCTCACTCAGTAGTTCTCAATGGCTGCAATAATGCAGCTAGAGAGAAGGAGAAATGATGCGTTTACATCCTTTATGGGTGTAAAAGCAATCAGTGTTAAAAAAAAAAAAAAAAAATTCATCACCCTTTTTAATTTACATAGCAAAAAAAAATAAATAAATACCACCAAAATAAAGCTGTATCTGTCTCAAAAAAAAATGCTAAAAAAGTCATATGGGTTCAGTATTGCATGACCGCGCAATTGTCATTCAAAGTGTAATAGCACTGATAGCTGAAAATTGGCCTGGACAGGAAGGGGGTAAAAGTGTCCAGACTGGAAGTGGTTAAGAAAACGCTGTCATATCCCAGCCTGTCACTTGAGCCTTTCCTGTCCTTAGGCCTAGTGACAGTGTTAAAGTCCTCCAAAGACAACCTGCCGGGACGTAAAAAGTAAAGGCTTAACCTTTGTAAAGAGGCATTTTCTATCCCTCTTAGACTGTGGACCATAGATATTAATGAGCCTCAGCTTTTGCCCCTTCACAAGGACAACCAAGACCATACATCTTCCAATCACGTAAAAAAAAGTACCGCAACTCCACTGTAAGGCTTGGACTCAAGAGACCAGAAGGAGGGACCACACCTCCGAGCCGGGTCTCTTGCAAAAACAAAACATCAGCACAAACACTACTGAGCAAAAATAAGGCCATACTCCTAGCACTTACAGACTTCAGGCTGGAAACATTAATGGTTGCCAGCTTTATCGGAGCGGGAAATGCCATCAAGGTAATTAAGATGGCCATTTCTTAACCTTATTTTTCCTTTGCTTCGCAGGGGACCCAACTCTCTTAAGAGGCCCTCTGACTTCCCCCTCCTACATGTTGGGAGAGGGTTCCCCCAGAATCCCCTTCCTCCCCTGAGAGAACGTCAAACCTGTTTTTCATAAAACCTTTGCCCACCTCCAGAGAAGAGACAGAGGATGCGGGGGATAACACCCCCTACTCCTCCCTTTCCCAACCACCGACCACCCTTCCTTAACTTCCACCCCTGACCCACTTCCGTCAGGGACAGGAACTGGTTGTTCCTCCTTCCCTAACCCACCAGATTCCACCGTATCCCTGACGCAGTCCTGGCGGCGGAGCGGAAGTAACACTGGGGGAGGTGCCACAGAAGGCACCTTAGGTACCCTCTTGGGCCCAGCGCCCCGACTCCTCTGGGCAGGGGGGACAGGAACACCAGGGGTGGGGGTAGATGACACTGGGGGGGATTCATGGGGTGATGCAGAGACAGGGAGATTTTACAGAGGGGGAAGGCATGGGCACACTAAGGGTTACACTAGATACCTCCGGTGCTGGAGCACCCGACGTGGAAGGATTGCCAGGGGGAGGGGGGGGCGATTCCACCCCCCTTCTTCAGCCTCCATCCTGTCAAGCTTCTCCATCAACACTGGCAGGTTGTGGAGAGCCTCTGGGCAACGGTTATAGGAATGCCCCAGCTGCTGGCAAAGATTACACCTGATTAAGTTACATTCCCGGGCTGTATGCCCGATACCCTGGCAAAGCGAACACTTGAGAACTTCACAGGTGGCAGCGAAGTGCCACTTGTTCCCACAACGGTGGCAGACCTTTGGTTTGCCCCGCATAGAATAACACTAAACGGTCTTTGCCAACGAAGGCAGGTGTTAAATTGTATTCTCCACATGCAACCTGATAGTTGCTGACCATCCCCCTTTCCAAATCCAACCTATCATCGACGCCAAGATGTCCCCAAACCTTCCCAACCAGACAGTTCTGTCTGCTGGCGGAAGCGATTCATTCCGCACAAGAATTGTAACGTTTTTAACTAATGGCTTTCTAAAGATTACCATGGGGATTAGCCCCTCCCACCTTGGGGTCCCCTTGCATTCCTTCTCATATCTCAACCAAAATACATCTAGACTTTCTGCCCTCTGGAATGAGATGTCATACTCTCCAGTCCCTACTGGGGCTTTGAAGGCAAAAATCTCCTGGGCTTTGAAACCCATCTCCATGATTCGATTAACCACCTCCCTTCTTATCGGGGGGGGTCTCTTTCCCTACCAGCGCAGTTGAACCACGTTTCTCCTCTGCACCCCTGACCCCCCAACACCCGTCTCAGACTGACCCGCTACACTCCGTTCCCCTTTCAGGGCAGCAAACTAATTAAGGACCCTGCCGGGAGCAGGGGGGGGGAGGCACGCCTCCTCCACAGGACCCGGCCTGCAGACTTCTGCATTTGCTGGGACAACACACTGCCCATTCACATTATCATCAATATCAGTCACTTTACTCACAGTCCTAACATACAGATCTCCTCCGCCTGCTCTTTGGGAATCAGAGAGCTGGAGATCCTCTCCAACCGCACATATACCGCCTTCTCCTTTGGTCTCGGCTTTACCGTTTTGTTTTGGGCTGAGATAGTTTTTTTTTTGGGGGGGTGGTGAGGTCAGGGGGGCGGGTATTGAGGTCGGCTGAGATAGTTTTTTTTTTGGAGTGGGGGGGGGTGGGGCCAGGGGGGTGGGTTTCGAGGTCGGCTGAGATAGTTTTTTTTGGGGGGGTGGGGGGAAGTGGGGCGGGTTTTGAGGTCTGCTGAGATAGTTGTTTTTTGGTGGGTGGTGAGGTCGGGGGGCGAGTTTCGAGGTCGGCAGATTTATTTTTTTTCCACAAATTTCTGGAAAAGGACAAAAACTTTTTTTTTTTTTTTTACACAAAGTTGTCATTTAAATTATATATTTCTCACACATGCCATGGGTATATGTGGAATTACACCCTAAAATACATTCTGCTACTTCTACCGAGTATGGGGATACCACATGTGAGACTTTTTGGGAGCCTAGCCACATTCAGGAGCCTGAAATCCAATGACCACTTTGAAAGCCTGAAGGTGCGTAACTTCCTCATTTCACTTCTTCACTACCTATAACAGTTTTGAAGGCCCTGAAATGCCAGAATAGCACCAACCCCCCCCCCCCCACAAAATTACCCCTTTTTGGAAAATAGACACCCAAAAGAATTTAAAAAGAGGCATGGTATTTTTCAGATCTCATTTTTTCTCACAAGGTTTTGAAATATAAAAAAAGAAAAGAAAAAATAAGTTTTTGTTTTTTTTCTTAATTTTTCCAAAAAACGTGTGGCAACAAACAAGATTTGCAAAATACTCACCATGCTTCTTATCAAATTCCTTGGGGTGTATACTTTCCAAAAAAGTGGCCATTTGGGGGGGGGGGGGGGGGTTGGTGCTATCTTGGCATTTCAGGGCCTCCAAAACTGTGATAGGTTGTCAGGAAGTGTAATGAGGAAATAAAGCCCTTTAAAAGCCTGAAGGTGCTTATTGGATTTTGGGGTCCTGTACTTGGCTAAACTGCCAAAAAGTCTCTCACATGTGGTACCCCCATACTCAGGAGGAGTAGCAGAATGTATTTTGAGGAGTAATTCTAGATATACCCATGGCATGTGTGCAGGGGCGGCTAACCATTTGGAAACTTGGGCACTGCCCGAGGGCCTGGGGTCAGTAGTGGGCCCCATGAAATGTCCCCGGTACCTTTTACATAGGCTTTTTTTGAGTTTGGGCAAGGACACAGGGGTCCCATGATCCCCTATTGCCTGGGGGCCCCATGAGTTGTCAGTCTGCTCCTGCATGTGTGAGCAATAAATCATTTCAGTGACAATTTTGTGTAAAAAAAAAAAAATTTTGTTTGTCATTTCACTCAAACGCAATTATTTTTTTAAAATACACTTTGTTTTTACTTTTAATGCACAAAAACACAATATATTGGCCAATTAATTGGTAAAATATAAAGGATGATGCCGAATAAATATATACCAAACATGACATGCTTTAAAACTGCACATGCCCCATGCAATGGCGACAAACTGCATACGTTTTTAATATCCATAGGCAACATTTTAAAAGCCTTTACAAGCTATCATTTTAGATTTACAGAGGAGGTCTAGTGTTAGAATTACTGCCCTTGATCTGGCGATTGTGGTGATACCTCACATGCATGGTGCAACTGCTGTTTCCATACTGGCACAGGGTCATCGCTCATGAACGCAGTTGCGCGCGTGCGCACGGGGGGGGGCGAGAGTACTTTTTTTTTTAAGTTATTTTGATTTTTTAAATTAATTTTATACTGTCCCTATAATTTTTTGATCACTTTTAATGCTATCACAGGGAATTCAATGTCTGGTGATGTATCAGTATGTCGCTGGTCCTTGTTGGGTATATATGCTATGTTCTTTTTGTATGCAGCCTGTGGACTGAATGAAAAAATTAGAAGAAATCTCTGCCAAAAAAAAAAAAAGTGTGGTATGCCCACCATTAGAATATACTGCCCTGCATCCACCCACTTCTAATGGTGGGCACACATTAGGTCACACTTTGCCACATGCGCCAGTTCCAAGATTGTACAAATGTCTAAATAGTGGCACGCTTAAATAAAAAAATTGTCCACGTATAAGTGGTACCCCATATGGAAAAATGATGACACCAAGTCCCAAAAACTATCTTGCCACTACTCCCCATGTAGTCTGGGCATACGGGGGCTCCACGTGACTATCTTTTTCCTCGTAAATCCAAAACTTATAAGTATAGCCTGGTTTCCTCTCACAGGTCTTCTGCATTTTGACCCCATATCTGGCACGCTTGCTGGGAAGAAATTGTTTTAATGCAAGGCGACCAGAAAAATTAATGAGGGACTCATCAATGCAGATTTTTTGCTGGGGAGTATAGACATCTGCTAATTTTTGGTTAAGGTGATTTACGAGGGGCTGAATTTTGTGCAGCCAGTCAAATTTAGGGTCACCTCAAGGACGACAGAGTGTATTGTCGTTAAAATGCATAAAACACATTATACTCTCATATCTATGCCTGGCCATGGCAGCAGAGAACACAGGCATATGATGAATCGGGTCTGTGGACCAATACAACCACAATTATTTTTTTTTAGTAATGCCAATATTGAGGGTTAGGCCCAAGTTGGGCAGTGAATGGGGGAAGTACGGGTGCTGCAGAATTTGTGGGCTGCCAATCGGGATCTGTATGCACATCTGGAAGGATACTAGGGGCTCTACAGGCCTGTGTGCAAATTCTTGGTTGCGGGACAATATTTGTTCCCACCATCGCACCAGCTTGTACTGCACTTATGGGACTGGCCACGTTGCCAAGTCATACTGCAGTGCTGGTATTATTATTAGTATACAGGATTTATATAGCGCAATCAGTTTTCTCAGTGCTTTACAATATAACGGGAGCCAATACAGCAGCAATACAGTTCAATACAAGAGGGTTAGGAGGGCCTGATCCTGGGAGCTTACAATCTAAGAGGTATGTGAAAGACCAGGATGTACTAGACCGCTGGTGCTCACCAGTTCACCAAATTGTAGCGCGGCACTAGTACTGGCACTCTGCTGCATATGAGAGTCATCAAAATTTACCGGCAAGTGCTAACTGAGATCAGGCCTGATTCTGCGAACACTGCGGTTTTGCGAGCAATGTATCAAGTGACAGTGACCTACTGGCACTGCTCTTGCTGGGGGAGAATGGGGCGTAAGCATAGGGGCTAAATGCAGGTGCTGGCAGGTGCCAGGGCTGATCCCGCTGACGCTGCATTTTTGGGGATGCTATACTACAGTAATGTGAACGCTGGTATAGTGCTGATCTGATCAAAGATATTGATCCGATAAGACACTATACCAGCAATGGAGGTTTATTGTGTATGAGCGTCTTGCTGGCAATCAAGGGGTTAAATGTGATGACTGGTGTACTGAAGGGCAATCTGACGCCATCTGAGAGGGGTGTGAAAACCACGGGAGCGTGAATCATGTATATATATATGTGATTTTGCGCACTTGTGCCATCCTGTAGCAGTATTTCTGCTATAGGGCAGTCAGGAAGCGGTTACATAAGCGGTTTGTGTTATGGCGCTGCGTTACTTTAACAATTGCACGGTCATGCAACGCTGCACCAAAATAAAATTTACATCCTTTTTTTCCACACAAATTGAGCTTTCTTTTGGTGGTATTCGATCACCTGTGCGTTTTTTATTTTTTGATCTATAAAAAAAAAGGCCGACAATTTTGAGAAAAAAAAAAAACCTATATTTTGGACTTTTTGCTATAAAACATGTCTAGTAAAAAAATGTAAAAATCAAATTTTGTCAAAAATTTAGGCCAAAATGTATTCTGCGACATGTCTTTGCTAAAAAAAAAATCCCAATATGTGTAAATTAATTGGTTTACGTGAAAGTTATAGCATTTACAAATGGCAGTATAGATACGGGATTTTTTTTTATACTAATAATAGTGGCGATTAGCAACTTATGGTGGCAATCAGCGACTTATGGCAGGACTGCGGCGGACATTCTGACACTGGGGGGGAACTGACATCCCCAGTAACACCAATACAGTGATCAGTGCAAAAAAAAACAAACACTTAGAAAGTATATAAATGTGCAGCGCTGTAAAACGTGTCTAAGATACTAGGTTAAACACATATAAAATATTGCTGAATAAATTAATTATTTAAAGTGAGATATATCCTCAAAGTGCTACAGTGGTATTATAGTCCTTGTATGCGTGAATAAATAAATAAATGTCCATAAAACTGTGGCAATCTGCATTCAGGTGATCATCAATAATATGCAATGTGCTGATAGGGTATTCAGTGATGTGCCAAAGATATGGTAAAAATACGCACTCACCAAAGGCGTATTTTAAATACGCATTTATGTATAAGATATGTTTCAGCCAGAGGTTCCCTTAAAGGTGGAACAGATGATGCAGCCCGGATAAGGAATCTCCCTCCTCTGGATCCTAAGCAGCCCTGCAGCTGTCTTCCATATGTGTAAGGTGTATTTCTACCTGAGGTCCCCTTTAGGTGGAACGAATGATACAGCCGTGAAAAGAATCTCCCTCCTCTGGATCCTAAGCAGCACTGCAGCTGTCTTCCACACTAGGCTCTGTGAATTAATTAGCTCAGTATAGAGCCAGAAAGAAAATAGCCCACAGTGTAGTATTTCCAATGATAATGAAGATTTATTAGTAAGCCATCCATGTGGATAAGTATAAAAGTTTGGTTAGCATAATGCGTCAGATAACATACAGTGTTATGTGGGTAAGAACTGACCATCCATACAGCAAGATGGCCGCTTGACCTTCACGAGACGCAACGTCGTATGGCTCCTCTTTGACACGTTTTGTGCCACACACTTCTTCAGAAGGGGTATGCCAATACTGCCTGACGTCCATTATGAGCTTAAATAGGGTAAATGGTGCATGCGCATTTTGTGCGTGCCATCTTGTCGAAGATCAAAACATGCGCGGGCGCCATTTTGTCAAGGACTTACAACGGCAACCACACTATGATCCCACAGAGAGAATTATCATACTTTGCAAGTGAAAACAAGGATTATACAAATCTTTTTAATCAATGTTGATCATGATTAATAATGACGTTAAGCCACTGCTATATGGGATATATTGTCCTTGTGATATGAATCCCATTCAACACTACGTGGCAAAGGTAGTTACCGTTGCTATGGTAACAAAGTCAGACAAGTTAATATGGATTTCCAAATAAAAGGAATTAAGAATACAGCTAGTCTGAGCCAATAGCTGTGGGGGATAATAGTAAATGATTATTTATAAAAAGTGTATATACAGTATATAGAAATAGATATTAATAAAAATAAATAAGATAGTCAATGTGGTTGTGAGATGAAATCCATAACAAAAAATAAGGTGATACGTAAAAATATTACATTAGATATACATTCACAAATCATAATTGGGTATTGGACCTGAACATGAGTAAATAAATATCATATGATGGTGAATGATCAAATAATATAAAAATTGATATAAAAAGGTGATATACCCCTAAAATTCTTCAACATACTGAGATGAAAATAAAACTGTAATGTAAAATCATCTCATAAAAAGTATAAATATCAATATATCTGAGACAGAATATCTAAAAATATATTAAACTAGTATATCAAAGGAGGTACTGTGTTTTGTGGTAACAATAAATATAAAAAATAGAATATAATAGGCAAGATCAATTCGTATCCATATGTGAATATCTATATGTGTAAAACTGAAGATAAAAACATGGGCATATAAGGAGGACTAAAAAATATATATAAATACATAAATGGAATATAATGAGTATATAAAATAATGGAATATAATAAATAGATAAAATAAATAAAATAGTGGACCTCCAAGCTATTAACTTTTGTCAATAAAACAATTTATATCAATGTCCAATGTGCCCTGCTGGAAAAAAGGTGCCCATCTCAAAAATCCATTTGGTCTCAAGTTGAGAAACTGCTCTACATTTATGCGTACCTCTCCAGTGGGCTTGAATAATATCAATCCCCACGAATTTAAGTGTAGTGGGATCTTTATTGTGGTAATGTCTGTAATGCTTAGAGAGGAAGTGTTCTTTAAAACCTCTTTTAATATTGTAGACATGTTTGCGTAATCTGTCTCTAAGTCTCCTAGACGTACGTCCTATATACTGTTTCTGAAAAGGACATTCAAGCATACAGACAATGAACCAACTGTTACAAGATATAAAATTCTGGATATTGTAAGATCTACCAGTAACAGAGACTGTGATCGTATCTGTTTTCCTTTTCCTTTCATTATTGCACTGGCATATCATGCATCTATTGCATGGAAAAACCCCTTTTGGGGCTATATTATTCCTGAGTGCAGTTGCTTTACGGAATGTAACCTCAAGTTTGGCCGGTAATATTTTTGAGAGAACCGGATCTGCTTTCAAAATCCCCCAATTTTTGTTAATTCTGATAGCCTTGTGCTGTATGGAAAACGTGGTTACAAACGGGCAAAATTTAGTCTGTCCTCATTTCTCTGTTTCTTTTAACATGTCCTCTCTATTTATATTGGCCACTACTTCCATCGTGTGATCCAGTGTGGGTTCGTCATATCCCTTCTCCATAAACCCATTTTAAAATTGAGGCCTTAGAGTAATAGGTATCATTATTCGTACAGTTTCTCCTAATCCTCATGAACTGCCCGTTTGGAATATTAGACAGCCATGACGGATGGTGACAACTGTCTACAGGGATGTAGCTGTTGCGATCCGTGTTTTTAAAATATGATTCGGTGATAATTTTACCCCCTTGATTGATCAGAGTTATGTGTAAGAAATTAATTTCCTGTATACTGTATGTATAAGTAAGCTGTATATTGAGACTGTTATTTAAAGTCCCAAAGAAATTGAGTAGCGCCTGTTCGTTTCCTTGCCAGAGGAGAAAGATATCATCTATGTACCGCTTATAGAAAACTAGCTCTGGCCAATCCCTAGCGTATATCATGTCCTCCTCCCATCTTGCCATGAAAAGGTTGGCCAGGCTGGGAGCAAACTTAGCTCCCATGGCTTCTCCTTTCGTTTGCAAAGAGAATTTCTTGTCAAACCAGTAGTTTCTTTCCATAGGGAATTATAACAGTTCTAGGATGAAGTCCTTTTGGGCTAAAGGTATCTCATTATTGCCACTCAAATATAAGTCTGCTGCTTGCATACCATCTCTATGATCAATATTACTGTAAAGGGATGCTACATCCACAGTCACTAAAAAGGTGGTTGCTTCTATTGATAAATATTTTACATCATTAAGTATCTGCTTAGTATCTTTAAGATAAGCAGGTGTTTGAGTGACCAAAGGCTGTAAGAAGTGGTCAATATATTCACCTGCTTTCGAACAGAGGAAACCAATACCACTCACAATCGGCCTGCCTGGTGGTTTAATAGGATTTTTATGTATTTTTGGCAGACAGTATAATACTGTAAGCCTGGGTGATGTAGGGCACAGAAAATCCTTCTCTTTTTTGTTAATAACCTTATTCTCATAGCCTTTATTAATTATCTTTTTTAGTTAGCGTTTATATGATGGGAGAGGGTCCTTTTGTAATGGAGAATACGTGCTATTGTCACTTAAAATACTATAAACCTCTGCCATATAATCAAATTTATTAAGAATCACTACGCCTCCACCTTTATCCTTTGGTCTAATAACCAGGTCTTTTTTATCTAGGAGTGATTTAACTCCTTTGTCCAGAGATTGGTTATTATAAGGGCATTTTATTGGTATATTACCCAGATCCTTTAGAACCATCTCTTTAAACACATTCACATAAGAAATGTGAATGTGGGGGAGGGTTAAATAAAGAAGTGTTCTTTAAGTTGGAATTTATTGCACCATTTGGAATGTTACTATATGTGATATTATTCGCAAAATACCTTTTCAGGGATAACTGCCTCACAAATTTGTGAACATCTATGTAGGCCTGGAATTTATTTAGTTTGGTTTTCGGGGTGCATTTCAATCCTTTATCCAGTAAACTAAGTTCTTGTTGTGATAATTCTGTATTGCTCAAATGAAATATGCCTTTACCAG